TTGGACTTTTTAATGACCTTTCTTGCCGCAGTCATTAAGTGAATCAGTTGTGGTGGTTAAGCTTCAACTTGGACTTTTTAATGACCTTTCTTGCCGCAGTCATTAAGTGAATCAGTTGCGGCGGTTAAGCTTCAACTTGGACTTTTTAATGACCTTTCTTGCCGCAGTTGTTAAGTGAATCAGTTGTGGTGGTTAAGCTTCAACTTGGACTTTTTAATGACCTTTCTTGCCGCAGTCATTAAGTGAATCAGTTGCGGCGGTTAAGCTTCAACTTGGACTTTTTAATGACCTTTCTTGCCGCAGTTGTTAAGTGAATCAGTTGTGGTGGTTAAGCTTCAACTTGGACTTTTTAATGACCTTTCTTGCCGCAGTTGTTAAGTGAATCAGTTGCAGCGGTTAAGCTTCAACTTGGACTTTTTAATGACCTTTCTTGCCGCAGTCATTAAGTGAATCAGTTGCAGCGGTTAAGCTTCAACTTGGACTTTTTATGACCTTGCCGCAATCATTAAGTGAATCAGTTGTGGCGGTTAAGCTTCAACTTGGACTTTTGCTGGTCGTAAAAGTAGATCAAGCCACCCTGGGGCATTGCAAACATCATAAATATGAGTCGGTGGCTAATTGCCTCAATTTTGATCAAGTGACCAGTAACGGTCATAAGTACGGGTCATTCTCAACTTACATTTTGTTTAGTAACCATTTGAAGTTGGAACAGCGCTAAAAGGAGTGATGTATGGCCATTTTTCACACTTACGATCGTCGCAACATTCCCCTGGTGTCACGTGATCAAAATTCAGGCCCTTGGCAGTCGACTCCTATTTACGATGGTTTGAGAACTTCTCACCCGCAGAGAGAATAGGGGAGCCAGATTTATTTAACAGCCACATCAACGGCAGTGATTCACTCAAGGACTATGGCAAGAAAGGTCGTAAAACGGACCACTTAACCAACGTTTCATTAGCAGAAGGCGTTTTGCGTTCAATGGTGGCCGTTAAGTCAAGGACTATCTCTATAAAAAAACGTCATAAGTCCTTTTTTTTCCACTGCTTCGAATGGTCACTATACAAACATTTGCAAGTTGAGGACTACCTGTTTTAAAACAGCCTGGAATCTACCGCACCCCACACACACACACACACCAGAAGTCCTTCCGTAGGCATAGAATCTCTACTCCAAGAATTCTCCAGCCGTCCCCGGCATTGCGGAGAATTCTGGGAGTAGATTTAGAATAGAATAACAGAGTTGGAAGGGACCATGGAGGTCTTCTAGTCCAACTCCCTGCCCAGGCAGGAAAACCTACACCACCTTAGACAAATGGTTATCCAACATCTTCTTAAAGACTTCCAGTGTTGGGGAATTCACAACTTCTGGAGGCAAGTTGTTCCACTGGTTAATTGTTCTCACTGTCAGGAAATTTCTCCTTAGTTCTAAGTTGCTTCTCTCCCTGATTAGTTTCCACCCATTGCTTCTTGTCCTGCCTTCAGTGCTTTGGAGAATAGCTTGACTCCCTCTTCTTTACAGTTTTATGGAATTGACCATATTATGGAATTGACAGGTTTATGGAATTGACCGTTTTATGGAATTGCAATTTAAAAGGGAAATCCTCAATAGTGTGATTCATTTAGCTGCTCCTAATGAAGCTTAAAATCTCTGATTTTGCACCAATGGTGGAGCATAACTGTTAGCATTTTTGAATGGGTACAAAACGTAAGAATTTCAACTTACCCGGGGACAAATTTCAGCCACAAACCATACATTTGTGAGAACGAACCCCCAAATGCTGCCAAACTCTCACTGGGACAGCCGTCTGTCTGAAACGTGGTTTCCTGCCTGAGCCTGGATGGGTGGGTTGGACTAGAAGACCTCCAAGGTCCCTTTCCAACTTGGTTACTCTATTCCAGGGATGGCTAATCTTGTTGTTGTTGCGTGCTGAAAGCCATAAAGCAATACATGCACGCGCCCCCTGCATGCTCCCCACCCACCATACATGTGTGCGCAACCCCACCCACCCCGCGCATACACACACAACCCCCCGTGACCCCTGCCCTGTGCATCCGTGCTTGATGCTGGCACATGCATTCTGCCCCCCCCCCAAATCCATTCCAGGGGTGCCTTCTGCCTGCTGCTACTGCCCGTTTGTTCATGCTTGCTGTGCGTGCATGCTCGGTACTAAAAAAAATGCTTCTGCGCATGCGCAGAAGCCAAAAACCAGAGGGCGGTGACTATGGCGCTACCGAGAGAATTGGTTCAAGGGCATGGCAGACCCAGACCACCAAGTTACTACCTATTCGGCCGAACCGGTAGAAACACACGTATGCGCAGCAGAGACTCAAAAAACAGCTGGCCAGCAGGAGGTACGGGCGCATGAACAGCGGTGCACCGGTGCAGGTTCCCCCAGAGAGGGCTTTTGCATGCCCCATGTGCCAAAGGGTTGCCATCACAGTTCTTTCCATTCCTCTATCTGGCCCAAGGTGGGATGACTAGCTATAAAATCCCGATTTTGGATTCCCTTCCGAATTTAACCCCATTCCTCTTTTTCAACCAGAAAAAGACCTGGGGAGCTAAGCCAAGCCCAGGCCTGTTGCAGATCCGAAATAAAAATAAAAAAAGTAAAAACCTGTTGGGGTCCACGGCCTTCCAAGCCTGCCCGCCATTCCCCCCCTCCCGACTCACCGGGCCAGGCGCCCTTCCAAATCTCGGATCTGGATCAGATAAAACTCTCGGCTGTGTTCTGGCACAATATTTACATCGACCTCTGGCTCTTTGGGGGCTTCCTCTTTCTTGCGCCCCCTTTTTTTGGGCGCCATGGCTGACTTTTCAGTGAAGAGCCTGCCCTTCGGGGGAGTAGGAGGAGGAGGGGAGGAAAAGGAACTGGAACAGGGGCACTTTAAAAGGCAGAATGCCTGGCCGGTTGCTAGGCGAAGGAGATGTACACAGCAACAGAGCTGTGGAATCTAAGAGAGGCCAGGCATCCGTTCGAGAACCAACTCTCTGTCTCCGGCACGGAAGGATTCCACTCTTAGCCCGGCTTTTCAGGGGACTTCCAACAGGTCTGGACTACAGGTCCCCTCATTCCCAGCCAGAGGGGCCTGCGTTGAGGGGTGAGGTCTTGGAGAGAAGGAAAGATGGGAAGGGAAGGTTGGGAAATGGAAAGGAAGGAGTAAAGAATGAAAAAAGTAAAAGGAAGGAAGGGGAAATGAAAGGAAGGAAAAACAGGGAAGGAAGGAAGGGTTGGAGAAAAGGAAGGAGTGAAAAATGAATAAAAGGAAGAAAGGGGAAAGGAAAGGAAAAGGAGAAAAGGAAGAAAGGAAAGGAAGGGTTGGAGAAAAGGAAGGAAGAATGAAAAGAAGGAATGGAAAGGAAGGAAAGGAAGGGAAAGGAAAGGGTGGGACGGAAAGGAAAGGAAAAAGAGAAAAGAAAGGAAAGGAAGGGCTTGAGAAAAGGAAGGAAGAATGAAAAGAAGGAATGGAAAAGGAAAGGAAAATGAGGAGAGGGAGGTTTGGAGAAAAGGAAGAAGTAAAAAAAATGAATAAAAGGAAGAAAGGAAATGAAAGGAAAAGGAGAAAAAGAAAATGAGGAAAAGGAAGAAAAGAAAGGAAAGGAAAACAGGGAAGGAAGTGTTGCAGAAAAGGAAGGGAGAATGAAAAAAGGAAGGAGTGGAGAAGGAAAGGAAAATGAGGAAGGAAGGAAGGAAGGAAGGAAGGAAGGAAGGAAGGAAGGAAGGGTATCGGAGAAAGGGAGGGAGGCGGTCCCATTTTTTCTGTGCGAAAGTCTTTATTGCATCAATAAAAAATTGGTTCAGGACTGTTCGATGGAGACCCTTGTCTTTGCACAGCGCCATCTCTAGCGGATGGGTGAGCCCCAACCCATCTCCGGTCTTTGCCCGGCCCACCATCCCTCTTTATCCAAACGGTTGAAGCAACGCGCGGGCCCCCCCAATCCGTGTCTGGTGCAGAGGGGGAAATGGAGCTTCCGTTCACAAATCTGCCTTTTCTCTCCCACGATACGAAGACAGAAGGCGCACCTGGAAGAGAAAAAAGCACCGACGAGTCTCCCAAATCCCATGGATTGACAACACCGATCAGAGCAAATACGGCTCTCACCGAATCCTCCGCTCGGCCTCTGGAAAAAAGGCCCCTTAGAAACCTAACAAATTAAAAGGGAAATTTCAAAAAATTCCCTGGAAAAATTGAGTGTGACAGCTCCCAGAGGGTTTTCTCCCTTCTCCTTCATCATTTTTCCTTTCCTTCTCTTCCATTTCTTTCCTTTCTTTTCCTTTTGTGTTCCCTCCTTTTTTCCTTTCCTTTCTTTTCCTTTCCCCTTCCCTTCTTTTCATTTTCCTTTCATTCTTTCTTTCTCCTTCCCTTCCTTTCCTACTTACTTCTTTCTCTCTCTCCTTTGTTCCTTCCTTCCTTCTTCATTTTCCTTTCATTTCTCCTTCCTTCCTTTTTCTTTGTTTCATTCTTTACTTCTTCCTTTCCTTCCCCTTTTTTCCTTTTTCCTTCCCTTCCTTTTTCATTTCTTTCCTTTTCCTTTCCTTTCTTTCCCTTTCTCTTCCTTTTCCCTTCCCTTTCTTTCATTTTTCCATTATTTTTCCTTTCCTTTTCCTTCCTTTCATTTTCATTTCTGTTCCTTTCCTCTTTCCTTCCCTTTTTATTTTCATTTTTCTTTCATCCTTCCTTTCTCCTTTCCTTCCTTTTCTACTTCCTTCTTTCCCTCCCTCCGTTGTTCCTTCCTTCCTTCATTTTCCTTTCATTTCTCCTTCCTTTTTTCTTTTTTTCATTCTTTACTTCTTCCTTTCCTTCCCTTTTTCCTTTTTCCTTCCCTTCCTTTTTCATTTCTTTCCTTTTCCTTTCCTTTCTTTCCCTTTCTCTTCCTTTTCCCTTCCCCTTCTTTCATTTTTCCATTATTTTTCATTTCCTTTTCCTTTCTTTCTTTCATTTTCCCTTCTTTTCCTTTCCTTTCTCCTTCCCTTCCTTTTCTACTTCCTTCTTTCCCTCCCTCCGTTGTTCGTTCCTTCCTTCATTTTCCTTTCATTTATCCTTCATTCCTTTTTCTTTTTTCATTCTTTACTCCTTCCTTCCCTTCCCTTCCCTTTCCTTTCCTCCTTCCTCCTTTTCTTACCTGCCAGATTTTACAGTTCATCCCGAGGTGCTGTGGGGAAGGAATAGCTGATGGGGCCTCCGTGGCTGCTGCTTCGGACATCCTTCATTGTCTTCTGCGATCCGCTCCAAGTGGTTTTCCTAGAATCGTCATCCCAGATGGTGGAAAACTCTGTATCGCTCATCCATTCGGCATCTCCGGCATAATGGGAAGGATAAGCCACATAGGGCCAGATGGAAAAGGCCCGCAAATCCCGGTTGCTGAAATATTTTTTGAAATCCTCACTGCGGGAGAGAGGGAAAAAAGGTGGATTATGTAGGGTTCACTGTAAAAGTATTTAAAAGTTGGGCATGATTCGTAGCCAGCAATACCTTTCAATATAAAGACCAATAATGTATCCCTCAAAACACATACAGAATCTTTTCTTCATTCTATTCTATTCTATTTTATTCTAATTCATTCTATTCTACTCTAATTCATTCTATTCTATTATTCTATTCTATTCTATTCTATTATTCTATTCTATTATTCTACTCTAATCCATTATATAATATTCTACTCTAATTCATATTATATTCTACTCTATTCTACTCTAATTCATTCTATTCTTTCATTATATTATATTCTACTCTACTCTAATTCATTCTATTCTATTCTACTCTAATTCATTCTATTCTATTCTATTTATTCTATTCTATTCTAATTCATTCTATTCTATTCTTTCATTATATTATCTACTCTACTCTAATTCATTCTATTCTACTCTCATTCTATCCTATTCTATTTATTCTATTCTAATTCATTCTATTCTATTCTACTCTAATTCATTCTATTCTATTCTATTTATTCTATTCTAATTATTCTATTCTACTCTATTCTACTTACTCTATACTTAACTCTAATTCATTCCATTCTAATCTAGTCTATTCTAATTCATTCTATTCTATTCTACGAAAAAAGCAAAGAGTTGCCTCTTGCAAAAGCCCCTTTGGGACTTCCAGGTCAAAAGTTTCCTACAATGTCGGCTGTGGAGAAGACACTGTTTTTTCTCTGCTCTTCTGCGCTCAGGGACAGGAACATTAATATGTCCAAGAGGAACAGAAGGATTTCTAAATTAGAAGCTGCCTTCCTCCACGGCGTGTATTTGACCCTGTCATGATCTAAAATCAGTTCATTCGGCTGAAGCATGTCAGCGGACTCCCGAAAAACTTCTACAATTCATGCCTCATGGGTGTCCGTTTGTCAGAAGCCGCCTTCTCCTCCCCAACCAGCTACGAAGATCAAACTTATCCTCAAAGGTGGTTCCCCTCGCACATCTGTGCCAGTCGTTCCCGACTCTAGGGGACGGTGCTCATCTCCATTTCAAAGCCGAAGAGCCAGCGCTGTCCAAAGATGTCTCCATGGTCATGTGGCTAGCATGACTCAACGCCAAAGGTGCACAGGATGCTGTTTCCTTCCCACCAAAGATGGTTCCTATTTTCCTACTTGCTTTTTTTACATGCTTTCAAGCTGCTAGGTTGGCAGAAGCTGGGACAAGGAACAGGGGCTCCCTCCGTTATGCGGCGCTAGGAATTCGAACCGCCAGACTACCAACGTTTCTGATTGACAAGCTCAGGGTCTTTAGCCACTGAGCCACCATGTCCCTTTTTAGAATATCTAAGGAAGAAGAAATTGACAAGGTGCAAACCAAAATGAACCCCCAAAGAACCGGGGGGGGGGGAGAGAAATCTGCAGGTGCCAAAAAGCAGGAGATGGAAGGGAGTGCCCCATAAGAGGGCTCGGCTGACTGGCTGGCACGCTATATGTTCTTTTCCTTTCTTTGCCAACATTTTCACTGGGAATGTTCCCTTTTAAGCTGGGTTCCGTTCATTTTAGGTGAGGATGGGGGACTAATCCTTACTTGGGACGTTTGTCGTCCATAACGGACAGGAATTCATCCATGGGCAGGATTTTAGAGAGGGGGCCATGCCTCGATCAGCTTCCCCGCCCCCGTCGCGAGAGAACGTAGGCCAACGTCCAGTAGGAATATTCGGGCACCACCACATTGGGGATTTCGGAGATTATGGAGCTCACTCCGTTACGCAGCGCTAGGGATTCGAACTGCGGACCTTTCTGATCAACAAGCTCAGCGTCTTAGCCACTGAGCCACCCTGGTATCGTCAAAGAGACTCCACAAAACCTATGCTCTGAGGCCGGCCAGATTTTTAGCAATTCCTCTCTTGCTTCATTCCACACATCCTGCTTTTTTTTCCCCCCCTTTGGAAAGACATAATTGAGGTTGAGCAAACCCAGAATTGAACAAGCGAGCCAGATGAAGATTGGCTAGAGAGCACCAGCCAAGCCTGGATGGAAAAAAACCCAGAATATAAGCCAAGAGGCTGGGCTCTGTTTTAGCTCGCGCTACACACACAAATGGCTTTTGCATGCAGCCTGGAAGGGAAAGCCAAATGGCTTGGCTGGGAGCCTTACAAGCTGGAAACTCCAAAGAGTTTTCCCTGGTCAAGTGTTACTTGCTCCAGCAGCGGGGAGCCTTGTTTGGCGAGGTCTTCTCTTGCAAATTCGGAGACGAGATGATCGGCCCTCATTTCGGATTCTGGGGTGGAGATGGGTAAAGGTTCCCCTCGCACATATGTGTTAGTTGTTCCCGACACTAGGGGGCAGTGCTCATCTCCATTTCAAAGCTGAAGGGCATTGCAAGCAGAATCATAACAATGAAAGCTATCCCAAGTCGTCTGTTCTTTATCTTATCCTATCCTGTCCCTTATTCTGTTCTAATTCTGTTCTATTCTATTCTATTCCTTATTCTATTCTGTTCTGGTGTGTTTTGTTCTGTTCTGTTCCCTACACTATTATCTTCTCTTCTCTTCCTATCTCTTATTCTATTCTTATTCTCTTCTCTTCTTTATCCTATGCTATGCTATGCTATGCTATCCTATCCCTTATTCTTTTCTAATTCTATTCTATTTTATTTTATTCTACTCTATTCTCTTCTATTCCTTACTCTATTCTATTCTATTGTGTTTTGTTCCATTCTATTCCCTCTTTTCTTCTCTTCTATTCGATTCCTATCATTCTGTTATTCTCTTCTCTTCTATTCCTTATCCTATCCTATTTTATTCTATCCTATCCTATGCTATCCCTTATTCTATTCTATTCTATTCTATTCTGTTCCTTATGCCATGTTCCTTATTCTTTTCTAATTCTATTCTATTCCTTATGCTATGCTATGCTATCCCTTATTCTTTTCTAATTCTATTCTAGTCTATTCTGTTTTGTTTTGTTCTGTTCTATTCCTTCTTCTCTTCTCTTCCTGTCTCTTATTCTGTTCTTATTCTCTTCTCTTCTATTCTTTATCCTATCCTAGCCTATTTTAGCCTATTTTATCCTATCCTATCCTAAAGAAACAGAGCAGAAACCTGGCCAGCCAAAGAAACAGCCCGAGCCAAACATTCGCAAATGACATCAGCGCTCAGAAATGAGGCTGCTCGTGAAGGAAAGCCAGTCCGATTTTGCAACACTCAACATCTGTCCTCCAGATGACTCAGGACTGAGAGAGCTCCCAAAAATCCACCCCTCACTTTCTCTGTCTTTATTTAACCTCCTGCCACCATAAGCGACATTAACAGGATTTGCTTAGGTCATTTTCTGACACAATTTTTTTGCTAAAATAACTTCGTTAAAGAAATAGTTGGACCGACTGCTGCATTACTGACCATTTGTAGGGAAGAAGGTGTGAAAACTAAGAGGGGGAAAATAAGGATTGTTATAAAGTGCTGGGGTTTGATTTGGCTCGACGGGGCACTTTGGATTCACGAAATGAATTCCTAATCAATGCAAACATCCCTCTCTTGAAGGTTTGGTTTTTTTTAAGCAGAATATTTAGAGAAATATCTAGGTAAAGGTTTCCCTCACACATCTGTGCCAGTCATTCCGAGCTCTAGGGGGCGGTGCTCATCTCCGTTTCAAAGCCGAACAGCCAGCGCTGTCCGGAGACGTCTCCGTGGTCATGTGGCCGGCATGACTCAACCCTGAAGGCGCACAGAACGCTGTTCCCTTCCCACCAAAGGTGTTTCCTATTTTTCTACTTGCATATTTGACGTGCTTTCAAACTTTTCGGTTGGCAGAAGCTGGGACAAGTCACGGGAGCTCACTCCGTTACGCGGCGCTGTGGATTCGAACCGCCGAACTGCCGACCTTTCCGATCGACAAGCTCAGCATCTTAGCTACTGAGCCACCTTTTAAAATATCTAAGGAAGAAGAAATTGACAAGGTGCAAACCAAAATGAACCCCCAAAGGACGGGGGGAGAAATCTGCAGGTGCCAAAAAGCAAGAGATGGAAGGGAGCGCCAGTGCCCCATAAGTGGGCTCAGTAGACTGGCTGGCACGCCATGTTATTTTCCTTTCTTTGCCAACACATTTTCACTGGAAATGTTCCCTTTTAAGGTGGATTTTGTCCATTTCGGGTGAGGAGGGGGGGGGCTAATTCTTACTTGGGATGTTTGTCATACATAACAGGCAGGAATTCATCCACGGGCAGGATTTTAGAGAGGGGCTGCGCCTCGATCAGCTTCTGAGCTCCCCGTCGCGATAGCACATAGGCCAACGTCCAGTAGGAATATTCGGGCACCACCAGATTGGGGATTTCTGCCACCTCTTCCTCTTCATCGGAGTGGACTTGTTTCCTGCCCAAGTAGCTGAAAAGAGAGAATAACAGAATGGCTATGTTGGAAGGAACCTTGGAGGTCTTCTGGTCCAGCCCCCTGCTCAAGCAGGAGACCCTACACCATTTCAAACAGTTGTCCAGTCTCTTCTTGAAAATCTCCAGTGTTAACTGGAGGCAATTTGTTAACTGTTCTCTCTGTCAGGAAATTTCTCCTTAGTTCTAAATTGCTTCTCTCCTTGATTGGTTTCCACCCATTGCTTCTTGTCCTGCCTTCAGGTGCTTTGGAGAATAGCTTGACCACCTCAGCTTTGAGCTGTGGGGTGACTCGGTGGTTAAGACCCTGGGCTTGTCGGTCGGTCGGTCGATCGATCGATCGATAGAGAGATAATGTAGGTAGGTAGGTAGATGACAAGTGAACAGATAGGTGTACAGAGAGAGATTAGATAAAAGACATACGATAGAGAAAGGTAGGTAGGTAGGTAGATAGATATGGATTGATGAGATAGATAGATAGATAGATAGATAGATAGATAGATAGATAGACAGACAGACAGACAGATAGATATGGACGCTAGGATAGATAGATAGATAGATAGATAGATAGATAGATAGATAGAC